ATCAGTAATTTAATTTTTTTTAACCTTGCTTGTTAAAATATCAAGTTTTAAAATATCTGTTTTGTGTTCGCTCCGCTATCTCCGCTCTTGCCTTAATATATTAAATATGTACTTCCAATTAAATGTATTAGTAAGTAGTGGCGGGTAAGAATACGCACTACCCCACATCTTCCCGTGGGTGTCGTAAGAGGCGACAGAGGCAAACTGAGGCAGAAGATGGGCAGCAGTATCTTTCTGATAGCAGCAAAACAACAATAAAAAAACTGCGGTTGTGAACCCGCTTGCCAAGCGTGGCAACTATGGCAATATACCCCCCATGATTAAAGTTACGAAAAGACGGTCCCCAGTACCCGCCGGCCCCGCTATTTTAGCTACGGTGACGATCATGGTAACGGCGGGGCAGAGGGTGCTAAGAATCTCCGGTGGAGGTATGGTTGCCACCTAAGACGATTCGACCTGGCAACATATTCGTATAACGCATGCACCCTGAGGACTGACGAGAAGATACTGGAGCTGGAATAAGAAATAGACAAGTTGCGTTGGTATAATATAGGATTATCTGAGTTCCGAAGAGAGAGGGAGGACATGGTAATCCTCGAATCCGTCTACTTGTTCTATCATCAGGAGGGCGACCATCTGTCCCAAGGAGCTGTCGGATTTGTCGTTCACAAGTCACTCGTTAACAACGTTGTATTGATAGTGTGCCGACAAGGGTTGTGTACCTTATACTTAGAATCACCAAACGGTATTCCCTGAAGGTCATACAGGTTTACGCACCAACCACGGTACATTCCGATGAGGAGGTGGAGAAAATGTATGGGGATATATCTACAGCTATGCATTTTCCCATAACCCACTATACGGTGTTAATGGGAGACTTCAACTACACACACACTAGGCACAAGAAAGAACGGTGAGCTGAAGGTAGGGAAATTTGGAATAGGGCAACGGAACCCAAGAGGCCAGCAGCTGGACGACTTCATGGAGAAAGAGGGACTCTTTATGATGGACTGTTTCTTCCAGAAGCGGTCCCACAGGAAGTGGAACTGGTCGAGCCCCGACGGTTCGGCAAAAAATGAGATTGACTTTATTATGACGACTAGACGACAACTGTTTAGAGATGTCTCAGTGATCGGGAGAGTGAAAACCTAAACTTTAAGTTGGAGAGGTCACGTCTAATGAAGTCAACGCTCCGTCCCCCTAGTGCTCTAATCTAAAGTCCCGAAACCTTTCAGCTCGAGCTACGAAACCGTTTTCAGTGCCTAGAAGATTGCCATGCAGTGGACGATATGAATGATAAGCTCGTGCAAACTGTCCGTGCAGTCGGAGCTAAATTTTGCAAGACCCGCCACAGAAGAACACAAAAACTCCGATCACACTCTTAATCTCATGGCTGTTAGACGGGAAATGAAGCTGCAGTCTTCAGTAGATTTGACAACATACAGACACTGAACTGCAGAGGGATATAAAACAGGGTGACGTAATATCACCGAAACTCTTCACCGCTGCATTGGAAGACGTTTTCAAGCCACTGAACAGGACAGAAAAGGTCTTAAGATGAACATAGACAAAACAAAAATCATGTTTAACGTCCATGTCACACCTATGACGGTAGTTGTTGGGAGTACTAAGCTCTAAATTGTTGACGAATATGTTTACCTGGGACAAATAGTCCGGCTAGCTAAGTCCAACTCCGACTGCGAGATCAATGGACGGATTCAACTCGGCTGGGCAGCGTTCAGGAGATTACGAAACATCTCCTCGTCAGGCATACCTCAAAACCTTAAAACTAGATTGTACAACCAGTGCGCGTTGCGAGTGATGACCTATGGATCTGAGACGTGGTCCTTGACTGCTGGCCATATGAGGAAGCTCAAAGTCGCTCAGCGAGCTATGGAGAGAGTTATGCTCGGCGTTTCTTTGCGTGATAGACTTAAAAACGAGGATATTCGCTGTAGAACCTGATTAACCGACATAACTCAAAGGATTAGTACGCTGAAGTGGTAATATGCGGGCCATACAACCCGAAGAACCGACAACCGATGGGGAAGAAAGGTTCTCGGATGGCAGCCTCGTACCGGAAGGCGAAGAGTAGGGCGTCCTCCCACTAGATGGAGTGACGACCTGGTAAGACATGCAGGAAGTCGATGGATTCAGGTGGCTTGGGACCGTCCTTTGTGGCATTCCTTAGGGGAGGCCTATGTTCAGCAGTGGACTTGTGAAGGGCATTACATGATGATGATGATGATGAATTAAAATTATTAAGATCTCTTGATGATTTAAACTTTAAAGAAATATATACAATATTTTCTTATTACAACATGAAGCAACCGGCTTACGGAATTTGACTTACGAAACCGAAACGTAGTTCTTTACGTTCGTCTCGTATGAGGAAACACAAAGTCGTTTAGCGAACTATGGAAAAGGCTATCCGCGGAGTTTCTCAGTGCGATAAAAGTAAATGAAAAGCAACAATAACTGACATAGCCTTAGCCTATCACTAAGTATAAGTGGCAATCGGCCATCGGTATGGCTCTGTTCTAGAAAATCAGAAAAAATAGAATATTTTTTATTTAATATAGACTTTTTTAAAGATTATATCATATTAGTCAATAATTATTTAATATAGATTATGTATATCATATAAGGAAGTCATTTTTAGGGTTCCGTACCTCAATAGGAAAAAACGGAACCCTTATAGGACTTTGTTGTCCGTCTGTCTGTCTGTCTGTCAAGACTCTTTTTCTCAGGAACGCGTGGAGGTATCAAGCTGAAATTCACATCAAATACTCAAGTCTACTGTCCCTTAGAGCTGTGAAAAAATCAATCTTCTAAGCCAACGCAATCAAAAGATGCAGCCGTTTATGCCGCAAATTTTCGACATTCGCAAGGGAATCAAAACCTACAGGGTACTACAAGGTACTTCCCGTGAACTCAGAATCTTAAAATTTGGTACGAAGCAACGTATTATAGCACAGATAAAGGAAAAATTGCGAAAAGCATAAATTTTTAGTTACATCATATAATAAAAATATTTTTAATAATTTTAAACTTATATACCTACGGATTTGTTCGGAACCCTCGGTGCGCGAGTTTGACTCGCACTTGGCCGGTTTTTTATTCACTGCTTCGGGAAATTCCTTTTCTTGTTACCATCAAGAAACCAGACGGTATTATTTTTTTAATTATAAAATTTTACATTATTGTTCTATAAATATGAATTATAATTGAAGGACCAGAAGAAGCAAGCATTAGCTGAAGTAGCAAGAACAATAATTTCATGTTGAATTTCACTCCCTTTCCATTTTATTCCGCGAAATTTTTGCCTTCCCCTCCGTATATCGTGATTATCCCCTACAGGGTAAGGTAAGCCTTTTAATGTAGATTACAGGAATAGGTCAACAATTGTCAATGAACACCCACTGATAATATCGACCAAAAGGAACTCTTACCGTTGAAAACTACTTTTTGTTGTAGTCATATATAGCATTTGCCTTAATCTCACAATGTGGCTAGCATTACAGTACCCTACGTAATATGGCTAGCATTACGGTACTCTCATGTCATTGACGGTTGATAACATTTGTGAATTTGGCTATCTTAGCAAGCCACACCTCTGACCAAGTATCATCTCATACACAACACGCCGGGATTGCTGAACGCAAAGATTTGTCCACAATTCGTCGTTGACGCCGCAAATTATATATTATATCAGATTTAATGGAAAACTACAAATAAGTTTAATTTTCTGGTTAAAATTAATAAATGTTTTCTTGCTCTCCTGTAATTTAAAAACAATTAAGGTTCGCCCCTATGCGGCTTAGCGACTCATTATGCCAGGTTTTCTATATTTCAAACGCTTTAACGAACTCTTTTGCAGTAAATGAATGCATGAAAACCTCCTTTTTTTTCATTTTAAGTCATCCTAGATTGCCGAATGAATTGTTTGTAATATAAACTTTTTTTACATGCACCTTGTATATAATAAAACGGATCGTTACCGAGAGTGGAACGTTTCTTGAGTATAGGAATCAGGCATTAGCAAAGTAGTATTAGAGTTCAGGTATGGTTGTCAAAAAAATGTACTAAATTTAAAAAAATAAAGTTTATTAGAGTAGGATTGCGAACACATGTTGTTTTCCAAAACAAAGGGTTTTTTTTGCGGATTTAAGTTTATTGAACTTCTGTAAAGTGAAGTGGTCATATGAAAACAACGAATTTGTAATAAAAATAGAATGCCAGTTAATGACGGCTGATCGAAAATTAAATCAGTGCATCCAGCTTTGTAAATGAGCATGCAAATAGCATTGTATACTGTATAGTCCTATATATGTTTGTTGATATATGTGGCTTATAAGAATTTCCGTTGCAGATATCACAAACATATACTCATAATATCTTTGGACATTAATATGTCATACATAGAATTATGAATGAATGTTATTACATAGTATGGAAACGTGTAGATATCCGGAGACCTTTTTTTACTAGAACCGAGGCATTCTATGTTAGGACTTTGGGGTGACAACGCATCTGCATTTTGATTCTAAAATAATGATAGATGTGGATATGTAAGGGCAACAGCATCCAATTACCATCAGGTGTATGCTAGTTTGTCGCCCTTATTCTATAAAAAAAAAAACCAACACACCTATGTAATAAATATCTGATATAATATTGTGTGCCTTTGAGGTTTGTTTGTAATCACGTGTATCATGGTATCAACATTGTGAATGGTCTAGTTAATGATTACAACTACAATTTATTTATCGACCCGTGCTACAAATTTATGATCCTTTACTATTGAATGTTGAATGGAATAATTTACAAGCAGTGTTTAATTTGGTTTATTTGAAGCGGGAATTTCCGAGTAACTATTTGAATAAAACACGTTTAACTCGAGCTGAGATTTAATCGTAGGGAGATTTATGGCAATTTACTTTGGCGCCAGTCCAGTGCATTGCGCCTATTATATTGCTTATAATATATTTTGTCATCAGATGTGGACCGACGAACTGTTCGCGCTCGCGTACAACTTGAATCAGCTGAACAATCCAACCATCAAGTTTCTTGAGAAGCTGCATACGAAGATCGTCCTCAAGGCGGACAAGTCGGGAAAAATACTTGTCAAAAAGTAAGTAAACTTTGTTAATCAAATCTGAAGCACAGAATAAATAATACAGTACAGAAGTTGCACTCCTTTGATGTTGACTGCTTGCCGACGTTTCAATAGCCTACATAGTTATTATTAATCAGATAAATCGCGCACGCAAGCTACATAAAACTTTATCGCTGCGTGCGAGTGTCCGTATTACTTTGCATCATAGAAAGGAGTTCTACGTTACAACAGACTTTCCGTGGTAAAGTGGTGTTAATAAAGTGTATAAAAATACATTGTGAAATGGTAAGTAAGTTATTTGGTATAGTACCTATTCTGACTTCGACCATATTTCCGCTACTATGTGAGTTCTGTGATGCCCAACGTATGCAACTTGCAAGGCCATTCGTCGGAAATCGCGATGCTTGGCTCGTAAGAAAAATGTAGATAGATAGTGTAAACAACAAATAAACTCGAAATAGGTACAATTCCTAACAGAAATGTGATCTTATTCTACTTATTTAAAAATCTTGTAAACAAAGTGTTAATTTCACTATTTTGTGTTATTATATAACTTAAAATATTTTAATTACAAAAGACAAGTATAGGTAATAATAAAATATAAATATAGGTAATATATAAGTAGGTGCTTGGGTAGTGAAGTAAATTTCAAGCAAGTTTTGTAATAAAGTATTTAGATATTACTTCTGTAGTTAAATTAGTACTTAATTCTTTTTTCGCTATCAGTACCTACGAGTATCTAACAAAATAATGAAATAAATTCACCTTTCATTATCCTTCAGTAACTTAAAAAACTATATATCTGAATCCCCGCAACAATTATAGTACGAACGATTTTTTTCTATTATAATTTATGAAATAGACATATATATTATTCTTAAATTACATTAAAATTTTTAAACTATTTTATCCTACAATTAAATATACTAAATACTAAGCAAAAACTATTTCGACGATTATTTCAACAAGTATTTACAAAAAACTATTTACGTAAACAGCGTTAAAAAACTTTAACATTCAATCGCTTAGAACGCGATAGCCCCGACTGGCCGACTGCGTTTTGCCCCGGGGGCGCCTCGCGATTGTAGGTAATTATTTCACGCAGGTAGCAGGAGTGACAAAGGCCTGTCTGAAGGTCTACTAACGTTTGTTCACAAAATATAAAATCCTATGTTATCATTTATACACCGGACCAATAATTCAAATTATTCGCAAAACCCGTGACAGTCAACTTCAGAAATCGTTATGTGAATAGTTAATATTGTAAGTTTCATTAATATTCTAGCTTGCTGAATGTCTACTTTTGGATAGAAAAATGTTGATAAGATTGTATGTGGTGCTCCTCATGGATCTATGTATAGTAAGTGTATTTGCAACCCCGTTGCTCTACGTAATATGTACATGATAATCTTTAAGAAACCCATAAAACGGAAATGAAGGTGGCGGTAGTACTTTCGTAAGAAAACTGAAAAAAAAAATTATGCGTGTCAGCCCGGACTCGTGACTGGAGTTTACTCTTGAAAACGGTTGTCTTAAAATGTATACAATGGGCAAAGGAAGTAAATGAACTCATATATATATATATTTATTTATATTGGTTTGATAAATATACTACATAAATTATATAACATAAAAATATATGACTTATTTTACATCATTCAATTTGCGCTATGAGATGCGCGAGTATGTTGCGCATAGGAAAACCATAACGATGATTTTACTGCCCATCTATTTTCCAAACCGTGCGCTATATATGAAACGATTCTTAAAGAGTAAACTCCAATATTCTCCAAAACGTGGTATTTTTGTCTCATACTAAGTGCCTTCGTGATGTAGGTGTAAAAATATGGTCACATGCCTTTTTTTTTTTTTGCGGATGGAAAATCATCAAATGACGCCTTTCGCTCTGGGTGGAGCGGAAGGGAGTGTCAGACTTTTACTGACTAAAACCATCCGTGTTCCTTCAGTGCCCTTACGTTCCGGAGCCGCGGTATCTCTTTCGAACAACCCGCAGCCCCGGCAGGCGTCGGCCCTTGCGGGCCCCTTCACGCTGCTGACAGCTCTTTGAAGCGCGCGTGGAACAAAACGCGCCGTCGACACGGCCTGTCGTCGTTAGACGGACGGACGGCGAGCTACCCATTGCTCGCCGTCCACAGGCCCGCGCCTACGGTGGCCGGGGGCCACGACGTAGCCCCCGACGCCCGGGCCGTCTCCCGCGGCGGCCGGGAAGGAAAGCTGCTGCTCTCTCCTTCTCCCGCTCCGCCACCTCCTTCGCTAGCATCACTGCTTCGCAGAAGGTGGTGACGGCATCCCATTCCGTCTCGCTCCGGACCATGGCTTCGACCAGGGCCGGACGCGAGAGGTCGCCGCCGCCTATCGCCGCTACGAGGACACGGCGGTGCTCCGCCCAGGCAGGGCACACCTCCACGGTGTGCTCCACCGTGTCCTCCGGTCGATCCTCGCAGTGGGAGCACCCGGGCGTTTCCTCCCGCCCGATTCGGTGCAGGAACCTCCCGAACACACCGTGTCCGGTGAGGACCTGCGTCAGGCGGAAGGTGAGGACGCCGTGGCGTCTCTCAAGCCTTTTAGGAAAAGAGGGGTCTTATCGCCGCTATAGTGGCGTGCCCAGCACGGGGTTGCGACAGTCGCTCTCTCCATTTCGCCATGAGATCATGCCGGAAGTCTGTCCGCTGCACGACAACTTGCCGCGGCAGCGGGGTTTCCCCCCCGCATAGTGCCTCCGCGCGCCATTCGTGCAGGCGCGCGAGGACTATCGCCTCCAGATCCCACGGCGGCAATCCGGCAAGGAGGCACGCTGCCTCGCGGGAGATCGTGCGGTAGCCGCGAACCATTCTCACGGCAAGCACCTTTTGGGGCGCGTTCAGGTGGTGGACGGCAAGCCGCGCCAAACCACGCGCCCACACCGGGGCCCCGTAGAGGGCCATGGACCGCACAATCCCCGCGTAGAGCCTCCGGCAGGAGGCGTTTGGCCCCCCAGGTTCGGCAGGAGCCGCCTGAAGGCAGCCCCGGTCCGTTCCAGTTTGGGAGCCAAACGTCGGAAGTGCTCAACGAAGTTCCATCGGCCGTCGAGGACGAGTCCTAGGTACTTCAACGTCGACTCGACGCCGATGGATACCCCTCCTACCATCGCTGAGGATCCCGGTGGTGGCCTGTTCCGAGGACCATGGAAGTGCATGGCCTCGGACTTGTGCAGAGCCACCTCAAGACCCAGCTGCCGGATCCTCTCAACGACTATCGCAACCCCGCGTGTCACAGTTTCCGCCGCCGCCTCGTACGACCCCCCCTGTGCCAGTACCAGCGTGTCGTCAGCGTAGCAAACTACGCTGACGCCGGTAGGGAGGTCGGCGCGCAGCACCCAGTCGTAACCGATGTTCCACAGGGGTGGCCCCAGAACCGAACCTTGTGGGACACCGCACGACATCTCTCGCCGGTTCCACTCACCGTTGCGACCGGGGTAGATGACGGCCCTATCCGTCAGATAGTCCCCGACTATACGACGGAGATAGGTCGGCACCCGGTGATACCGGAGTGCCTCCCTAATGCAGCTCCAGGGCATGGAGTTGAAGGCGTTGGCGATGTCGAGAGACACCGCCAAAACAACCCCCCCCTGGCCACTGCATCCCCCGTCGTGAGGGCTCTCACGCGCATGATGGCGTCCACCGTAGAGCGCCTCTTGCGGAAACCAAACTGGTGTTCCGCAAGATCCGGCCCCGTCCCCGCAAGGTGCTCGGCGAGGCGGTTTGCAATGACTCTTTCAAAGAGCTTGCCCACCTCGTCGAGCAGCACCACGGGCCGGTATGCGGACGGAGAGTCCGCAGGGCGCCCCGGCTTCCGAATAAGGACCAGCTTCCCCGTCTTCCAACGAAGCGGGAATTGGCCTCTCTCCAAGCATGCGCTTAGGAGCCTCTCCAGTCGGGGCCCGAGAGCCTCCGAGGCCAGGACCCAGGCTTTGCCAGGCAAGCCATCGGGTCCTGGGGCGGTATTCCTGGCCTTGAGCCTACGTACCGCCACTCTCAGGTCTACCCCGGTCCCTTCCGGGATGCCGTCGTCGTCGTCCTGGTGGTCCGCTTCCGGCACCGCAGGTGGCGGAGCCATAGGCGGGGGCGGATGTTCCCCTCGCGCAGGAAACAGAGCGCTCACCACGTCCTCCACGAGCTGAGGCCGGAGACTCTGCGTCAGCGGGGGGGCCCAGGTGCGGAGTTTATCCCGCACCATCTTGTAAGGGCGCCCCCACGGATCTCTGTCGAGAGTCTCCAGCATCTCCTCACGGGCCCGATCCCGGGCCCGCATGACAGCCTCCCGGAGGGCGGTCTTCGCCGCTCTGTATCCCTCGTACAGCTCCGCCTCAATGGCTGCCGCATTCGGTGGACGAATGCGGAGCCTGCGATGCCTGGCGTACAGGTGCCGCGCGGCGACACACGCCTCGCGCAGAGACGTCAGCTCACGCGACCACCAATACACCTGACGCCGGGCGCTTCCTGGCCGGACGCGGGGCATTGCCACGTCACATATCTCGGACATGGCCTCCTGGAACCACCCTGCCTCATCATTGACGTCGGCAGGCCTATCCGGTGATGACACCCAGGCCTGCACGATCGAGGCTTCCAGGAGGAGCTCCCGGTCCAGCTGCTTCAGCGCCCAACGCGGACCACTCGGGGCCTGTTGGACTGGCGCGCTCGAGGGCTGGGTGGAGACGTCAAACCGGATGTACCGGTGGTCGGAGTAGGTCTCCACCCCCTCCATGACTCGCCAGTCAATGGCACGCGGCGACAGAGCGGGGCTAGCGAACGAAATGTCCACCACCGACTCGCCCCGCATCCGCACGCACGTGGGGACAGAACCCCGATTTAGGACGACCAGGCCTGTCTCCAGAGCCCAGTCTTCCACCATCCTACCCCGCACATCTGTACGACGAGAACCCCAAGCCAAGTTCTTGGCATTGAAGTCCCCGAGGACAAGCACGGGGAGGGGATAGCTTCCGACGACGACTGCTC